CATGTGCCATCGAGTCGGACCTGACTCATAGTGACCCCTCCTCGGGTTTCCGAGGCAGTATCACTACGGAAGTAGATTGCCCCATCTTCCTTCCGAGGAATGGCTGGTGGGTTTGAACCGCCAGCCTTCTGGTTAGCAGTCAAGTGCCTTAGTCACTATGCTACCAGAGCTCCCAATAGCCCTATAGTAAGATACTATTATGTTCATCTAACATGTAAGAAAATTGAGTTCTCATAAGATAATTATATAACTTGCCAAGTTTATATAATTAGGAAGTGGTAAAGCCAGGATTTAGATTCAGACCTGCCTGATTCTGAAGTTCGTATTCTCTCTGCAACACTATTTTTTCAGGTAAATGTAGACACTATTTTATACCTGATTCTAGTGACTTTTCCAAAATACTGAAGGACTTGTTATGAAAGTGGTGATGTTACAGGCAGCATGATCATAGTTTTCATAAAGAAATGATTTTTTATATAAAATATTCCAAATTTTAATTAGATTCTAAATAGAGATTCATTTTTCTGTATGGTTTTAGAAACATACCATTTCTGGTGCTTTAATATTTTATTTGGAAGAGAAGACATCTAATTATGATAAACACTAGCCAAAATGTTTTAAATTTATATAAAATTATACACACACACATATATATATATGAGCTCTGGTGGCACAGTGTACAAGGCATCTGACTGCTAACCAGAAGGTTGGTGGTTCAAACCGATCAGCCACTCTGTGGAAGGAAGATAAGGCAATCAACTTCTGTAAAGATTTACTGCCTTGGAAACCCAGCAGGAATTGCTATGAGTCAGAATCAGCTCGATGACAGTGGGTAGATCGATAGATCGATACCTCTGTCACACATTTATATATACACATATTAAAAAAAAATAATTAAAAAAAAAACCCTGTCATCAAGTCATTTTCAACTCATAGTGACCCCCATGTGTTTCTGAGGCTGTAAATCTTTATGGAAGTAGATTGCCCCATCTTCCTTCCATGGAGTGGCTGGTGGGTTTGAACCACTGACCTTCCAGTTAGCAGTGAAGTGCCTTATCCACTACTCCACCAAAGATCCTTTATATACCTATACATAAATTCACTGCCATCAAGTCAGACCCGACTCATAGCAACCCCTCCTTGGGTTTCTGAGGTGATATCACTACGGAAGTAGATTGCCCAACCTTCCTTCTGAT